TGGGCTGAATGGCCACTTTCTACACTGCAGGGATTCTATAACTCCCAGTGCTGCATTTTCAGAGGTGCCAGCTTTTGTATGAGGCAATAAATGAAGAACTCAGCTGTGCCTCTCAAGTGGATGTAAAAGATCCCATCTCACTTTTTGAAGAATTCCCCCTACTGTACAGCCAACATTTATGCTTGAACAGGTATCATTAAAGTGTCTTTATCCCACTGCTGATTTTGGGAGCTTGCTGTGTACAAATCAGTAGCTGGACTTCCTACATTACAACAGTGGTGACACTTCAAAAGTGCTCCGTTGGTAGCCTAAGGTGGGGAAAAGTCCTATATAAATGCAATTGCTTTCTTCATCTTATCTCAATTGTGTAAGCTTCCCTCCAGACCCTGGAGTGGTACTTTCAATGCAATAGATTTTCAATTAGTTAACGTGTATTAAGTGCAGTGAAGGGAAGGGAGGTAAATGGAGTTGAAATGTCAATCAGCCCCAAGCTAGTTGAACGTTCTGAACAAATCTGAGGGCCGAATGGGCTGTGTTCCTTTTGAATGAGCAGTTTATGGAGTTTGGAAGGGAGTTGCATTATACATTTTTCGCTGTACAAGTGACAATATTAAATACACCTAAATCTAAATCTGAATCTCCCGGCATCTATGTGTCAATCACTAAAACATTAAACCCACACAGCACAGGCAAAGCCTAGCAATAGACAGCACACAGCAGCAATGAAGTTGGAGAAATGTAACTGTATAATATGATTTGAAGCCCATATAAATCAAGTTTTGTTTCACTTCATATTATGCAGAGTGTCTTTCTCCCAGTGCATCATATTTAAGCGTTTGCCCTGTTACTCTGACAGAGAAATTCCTCAGAACTGTAAAAGCAGGCCATGGCTAGCAGAAACAATAATTCTCTTCCAAACTATGCGTTTACGTAACCAATGGCAACACTCTCATTGCTTAGCAACCAAATGAAAAATTACGACTGGTAAAAGCTGGCTCATTTGATACATACATTACCATGTAGAGTTGTTTGGAGGATCTATTCCTGGTCTCTGCTCACTAAATGGGGGGGCAGTTTTAACAACGAGTGAGTGGGTGGGATTGGCTATGGATGAGAGAGCTTAAATAGGTTAAATTTGTGATCTCATTGGGAAGCTGAATCCAACATGCAAACATCTGAGTTTTACTCAGATGAGACAAGAACTGGGCAGCTGACCCCCTTGGAGAGTTGCTGCTTGAAATGCCTTAATGCGGTTGGAAAGACTGGATTTAATCTGCCTTAAACGTGGTTATCTGGGGTTCCCAGGCCTTGAGAATACTCAGCAGTTGTAGTGAGGTAGGGGAACTGTTGGAGACAGTCAGGCTTGGCCTGACAAGTAGCAAGTAACATTCTTGTCACACCAATGCCAGGCAATGACCATCTCCAATAAGAGATGATCTAACCACCTCTCCTTGACATTACCATCACTGAAACTACCATTGACCAGAAACTCAACTGGACTCACCACAGTGGCTCTATGTCTGAGGATAGGCATATTGCAGCGAGTAACTCACCTCCTGACTCCTCAAAGCCTGTCCCACCATCGACAAGGCACAAGTCAGGAGTGTGATAGAATACTCAGAGATAGTAGGAACTGCAGATGCTGGAGAATCTGAGATAACAAGGTGTAGAGCTGGATGAACACAGCAGGCCAAGCAGCATCAGAGGAGCAGGAAGGCTG